TGTGCTTTCATAGGCGTGAATTGCATGCACCCTCTGTTCATCTCCTGCCTTGAAATGGACAGAGAGGACACATGAGAATGTTGTAGTGCTTTGGGGGGTTGCAGTTCTGGCACTTGTTTTTGTCCGGAGATCTGTATGGATGATCATCAATTTCAAGCCTAGTATACTGATAAAGTGTTTCATTTTGAAGGAAGAATTAGATCATTGTACTTGGAAAATGTTTGCAGTGCTTTTAGAAATGCATACATAATACAGCAATGCATTTTTCTATTACAAAGTATATGTATACTTATGCCCAAGCATGTCTTAAAACTATTAATGCAACATTCTAGAATTCATTTTGTGATCATTAACTTGGAGCAGTAGAAACATTCATACGTACGTAGGCTTGAAAATATTATTAGTGACTGATAGGCTGGATAGAGTTCAGCTTGACCAATTCACAATCATTTTTGAAGCTTTCGGGAAATTTATTGAAAGGAAATGTCAAGAAGGGGTACATAGATTTCATGTAATCATGGTGGATAATGAAATATATTCTTATATGGAATCATGAACAACACCATTTTCTTTTGATACTGTAATTAAACCAGCGCTTTTAATAATTAGTCACCAAGCCCTCATTCATTGTAGCATATATGTATCTGTCCTTCCTGACAGCTAACGTTTAGCTACAATTCTGATTAAAACCGCATCCAGTATTATACTGGATTTGAATTGGTTTTGAAAATTTCTCTCATTTCAGTTACTAGTCCTTGGTTTGAACAAAGAACTGAAAGAGAGTCAGTCGGTGAAATGACTCTCTTGCGATTTGTGATTAATTATTTATAATAAGTTCACAAGATTAATAAATACTTACATAGTTCTGTAGTGCCTTTTATCTACTTTAATAAAGGCCTGATAGCATGCAATTTAGATTGTTTGTGTGTAAGTGTAACTTTGAAATAGAAGACCTACCTTGACATTAGGATCAAACCAATAATTAAAATATTAAGCTCTATAATTAGGACTATTTTAAGGTTCCTGATTCATTCTGTGGAGATCTTTATTCTTTTGTTGATTTTCAGCATATTATTGAATTGTTACTATAAATATTTTTCTTTCATGCTTTTATGATCAGCATATTGGGAATAAGTCAAATCTAAAGTGATAATTAAATATCATTTCTACCTGGGCTTGGAAGAGAATGTGAAAACCGAACTATATTTCAGGAAACAATAAAATGCCTTTTTGGCAGTAGAAATCACAATGAATGAGTATAATCACAGTGAGTCACTGCACACATTATGAATTAGGAACACATGCCGTTATGGTACAGATTCTCATTTGTTCTCTGTAATTCATGCCTAAAACTTCTTAAAATGCTGAAGCACGGGAAGTAGCTCTCACTGCTTCCTGACAATACAGTGCTTGCCAAAATAGGCCCCATAGACCGACAACTTAAATTTGTATAGTACCCTCCTAACTAAGAACTCAACTCTTCTCCCCACCCCCCAACATTACCTCCATTTGGCCATGCTGCATCATTTTGAAATAAGCAGGAGTCAGGCAATATTATTTACCATAATGCTGAGATCATGGATTATAGCTGCCAACATGATATATCAAGAGTAGAGTATCAGAAGTAACTGCTCCCCATGGCTCCACTTGATTTGGTCATTTGGCATTATGTACTAAGCACCTACTCGGTTGTAGGTACCCTTCTAGGTCTGGGGATACAGCAGGGACTGTGCTGTGGGAGCACACAGTAGAGGTAGCTAACCCAGTCTTAGGGGTTCTTAATAGGCTTTCTGAAAGAGAGAGCATCTGTCCTGTTCTGTCCCTAGTCCTTTAGTCTGTTTTCTCATCTGTTGCACTAATTAGTTCAGTAAGACCCCAGATCATGTCAGAGATCTTTGTTTTGTGGTCTCACATTTCATTACAATTTGAGGGCAAAGAATTAGCTAAGTAATACCATGCCTTAGGTAACTGAACTCCTCTGTGGACTGTTTGAGAAGCACATGCACAGACACAGGTGTTTGATGGAGTGATGGCCTCAGCATAATCACGTTATGAAAGGAGAAAGGTGGATTGAAGGTCAAATCCCACTCCACCCTACCCCCAAATCACTCTTTCATAGAGAAAAAGCGTGGGAGCTGTATGTCATCCTACAAGGCTGTGTCTATTCTGCTTCCCTTTGTTATAGAGTCCCATTGCATCTAACAGATCAGCCTTGTTGATTAGCAATGAGAAATCACCTTTTACCGTTCTTAGAAGAGTTCCCTACATACTCAGAGTGGGCAAGTGGGTATGATTATAGACCAAAATTAAAATGCCAGATCTCATCCAAGTTATCCAGATAGGCTTTTCTCTTCTTGCTGATGGCTTCCCTTTCTTAGTTTGTATCAGGTAAACTAAGAAATGGCAAGCTTACCAATAGAAAAAAAACAGTTCTGGCAAAGAAGGCAGATGAATTGGGTTCTCGACTCAGTCCTAACATTCAGTGTTGAGTTAGTCATGGGAACAGGCTATGCAGAGTTATGTCTCTTCTTGCAAGCTCTGATTCCTAACCTCACCAAGAGGCTCTACAGATGAATGAAACTCATGCCCTGAAAGAAGTCTCCATGTATTTTTAGAATTAACATTACTTAATGTGAGTTCTTTGTTTTTCAGCCTCTAAGGTATGTGAGGTGTGGGCTGTCACTTGGGAAAATGTCTCCATCATCCATGGTTGCTTTGACAGGCAGATTTTCATTTGAGCCCTTGGTTCAATACCGATTTGGCATTTAGACATGGAACAGGTGCTGTTCAGAGGTTTTTAAAAGAAAATACATTTTAAACAAATCAGGGGATGTACCTGCCTCTGTAGGATTAGTCAAGGAAAGCTCCAGCCCTTCCGTATGTTAACCCCTTGCCCCAAATCTAGGAAACATTTCAGAGCGAACCACAAAAACAGATGATCTCAGATGCATAGGGAACAGATGAGGAGACAAGACAGAAGGCTGGGCATTGGAATGGCAATATTAAGGGGAAAAAAGTAGGGGGAGAGGAGGAAAATCAGGAGGGAACATAGCCACAGCCAAAAGAAAGCTTTGACAGAATAGCTGTTTTTCTTTCATGTTAATTTTCCTGCCGTGCACAATCTATGATAGGCTTAGATTGTACTTGGAAGAAATGTTTTCTCTCCTTCTCTTCCTGAAACCAAAATGGAAGGGAAACAAGGTTTTAGAAAGAAATGATGACCATTAAATGCAGTGGGACAGAGAGGTAGCCTCATGTTCCCATGTTTAGGTTCTTACTTTTGTCTTTTGGGAAGAGTTGAATCATAAAATCTTTGCCAAGCACATTGTTAATTTGCTGAGAGACGGGAGTGAAAGTAACACAGATTCTAATTATTATGACTGTTATTATTTTGTGTTTACATAGTGCCTCTGCTCCAAGGTGCTTAAGATCAGGGGAAATGTAGGAGGAAAGATGTGGTTTGGTACTTGCCATCATTCTGCTGTAACAACCACATAGAAAATCCTCTGTGATTAATGACAAAATGAATGAAACTGTTGAGTGAGTGCACAGATAGTACAATATGTATTGAGTGGGCAAATGTTAAGTGAAAGGAAAAAAACGCAAAACGTCACACCGTCTGTACAAGGATTTTCCTGTAGCAGTTGCATTGCAGTAAAATTGCTTGGATGAAGATGCATTCTACTGAGAGGTAGGAAAACATTTTTATGTGAATAAAGCAAGATCTTACTGAAAAGTAAACTTGGAAGTACTCCTGTTGTCTCTTTTTGCAGTGTTATTTGATGTGGTGAGGCACAAGCCTCTGATAGCATAAGAAAGAAGCTAGGGGAAAAAATGACTTTGAGCTGTGAGGTGCTTATATGTTTTGCAAATATGATGATATGCATGTGTTCTTATTTTATGACTTGGATAATCTGAAAATCAATTTGCTTTGTCAATGCTTCCTGGATTAGAATTCCACTATTTGGTCCCTATCCTAGGTAAGACATTGTTTGCAAATTGTGGTACTTGTGAGATGTTGCAGTGGTTGCTAAGACATTTAAGGTACTGATGAAAGTAAAATGGTTGTCATGGTGACTGATAAAAATAAATGTTGAAAATGCCCTGGGTTCTTTCTTTTCTAGTCTACTAAAGAAAATTGAGCGGGAAACATGGAGGGAAAGTGGCGTTTCATTAATCGCCACTGTAACTCGTCTAATGGAGAGGTTGTTAGATTACAGGTAAGCTGAGTCCCATGGTTTCCAGATATATTGTGCTCCAGTTAGAATATCCAATAGCATACAATTAACATTCCAGTGGAGTTAATCATTCAAAGAATTGGTCATTAGACCATGGAACGTTTTGCAGCAAGATCATGGACTTCTCACCAGCTGGTTCAGTTTTCATTAGGGGATTATTTCCCTTTTTTTCTGTTTTGCTTTGTTTTTAACAGTTCTTTCAAACTTTTTGTGAAGGGAGAGGGTCTCAGAGTTCCTTAATTGAGGGACTTCTTTTGAAGGGGTCAATTTATACTGACCTAGTGGACCAACAGAGACCCATTTTAGGGCAAAGACAGTGTAACAGAGAATTGTACAACTATACTAGTCTCTAAGAAAAAGAGGTAATATAAACATCATTTTTTGATCTTTAGATTATCTAAACTTTCAAAGCAATTTGTCCACCTAAATACATGGTTTTTTTGTTGTTGTTGCTGTTGTTTTGGTTTTGCTTTTTAATTAAGAAACTCTTACTCTCTTTGTTGGCCAGAGCCTCCAGATACAAAACAACACACTTGCATTCCTCTTAGTCCCTGTGTTCTCTGTATGTTGAAAGCGAGCACAGCCTCGACCTGGCAGTCAAATTCATGGCTGAAACTGCTGCTCGGGAGTCTCAGACCTCTTATCTGCCCAGAGATCATGCAACCTGGGGCAGTTTTCTAGTTACCCAGAGTTTTTATCTGAATACTACCTTGCAAATTGTCTTTGCTCTCTGGCAGCACTTTGGTCTTCCCCCTAAGAGAACAAAGTGATTGCCCCTAGAGAGGAAGTTCTGTGTTCTGACTATGGCTTTTTATTTTTAGGGACTGCATGAAAATGGGAGAGGTAGATGGCAAAAAGATTGGCTGCACAGTTAGCCTCCTGGTTAGTAGACAATTCCCTTTCTCTTCTTTATATCTAACATTTTTTGTTTTTGTCACAGAAATACTCTGTTTTATTTGTTTTTAATCAACAATGTATTTTTATCTAGATGTTTCATGGACGAGTTTAGAAGTGTTTTTAAAAGAAGCTTAGCAAGCTTCATGTTGAATTAACGCCCAGAAAATTCTCGGCTCGGAATATTCCGAAGGAGACCTCTGTAGAAGCCCAGAGTGAGGTGGTCAGGTCCTCATGCAGTTTGCTTCACCCTCCTGGTGTTTTCTGTTGTTCTTCACTCGGAAAACACTGGTCTCTGGATTGTGCTTCTGTGTAGACTGTTCTTTCTGTTCTTTTTTTCCTTCCCCACAGTGTTACATTCATTCTACATTTTAATAAATATTCATGGTCTCCTCTTTTGTGGACAGATGACAGTATTTGGTTTAGTGTAATTTTCACTCTCTAACTTACTTGCAAAATAAATTTCTGATACCATTATCGTTAAGGTTTGGGTTATAGCTACAGTGACCATATAATGCATAGCCCAGAGGGGACAATTTTGAGAGTAAAATTAAATATTATGTAAGGATAACAGGCTATATCAGAATTATTCTGGGCAAGTCAAAATTTACATAAAATATCACACAGCTAACTGTTAGATATGACAGATTCTCACCACAAAGCAAAAGAATGACCATACATTTAAACATTTATATTTCGTATTTTAACATAGGACAGGTTTATGCTTTTGATAATTTCCATTAATCAGATTTGAAATACATAAATATGTGTCTGTTTTCATTTCCAAATTGTGAATATTATGGTTCCATTTTCTTGTATTTTTTAGAATAGATGAGACCTCTATTCCAAGTACTTGTACAGACATTCTTATTCACCTTAATAATTTTAATACTGTTTTACTGTTTCCTATTTGACCGTACCTTGAAATTCTGTTTTACCCCACTTTGATTCTATCTTGCCTTAGTTCTTTGGTTTCAGTCACTTTGTTTTGTTTTGTTTACTCCTCTCACAGTTCCTCTTCAAAGCTGAGGACTTTCACTTTCTTACAATGATCTGTTTCCTAATTTCCTTTCTTGCCACCTGTTCTTCATCTCTTAATACATGGATATATCCTTCTGTACCACACCCACCACTTTCACCTCATTTTGAATTTAATTGTTACATCTCCACCTCCAATATCTGTAGCTAAAAATAATGAAACCTGAACTTCCTCCATCAGGCTACATCTTGTTCATTGGTTATGTACTTTATTCTTCCTTTTTTATTATCAAACCCAGTAATAACCTCTGGACCATCAATCCTATCCCACTGGCCTGAAATTTACTTTCATTATGAATACTCTCATTGCAAGCCGTGAACATGACATTCCCCACTTTTAAGCCTCCTGTCTTCCCTAGGTTCTTATATGCTTATGCCAGCCTTTCCCCAGTCATCAAGGTCAGCCTGAGTTTCTTCCATGTCCCTTCTATACACCAACATTTGGGAAGAGAACCCAAGTGCTCTGTAATCCTTAGGCATTCCCAGTTTATCTCCTTAATCCTCACTGTATCCCAATTCCAGACGGAGTCTCATAAATAACCTCAAAGCAAAGCCTTTACCTTTTTCTGAAAGAATCCCCTTTCATTGTCACCACCTTGTTTTACAAATACTTTCCTTTGGCGGTGAACAAATAAACATAGACCCTAGGTCATTTCCCAATTGGGATAACAGAACAGATTATTTCATACTTTATCCTAAAGGTGTCTGCTCTACTCTCCCAGTAGGAATAAGCCAGAGACTTAACCAAATCAGTGGTTCTATCAGGATTCCCTTGAGACAAAGAATTTCTCCTGGGATTTTTATACTGACCAAGAATAGTCCTTAAAGAAAATGTGAACATTTTGAAAACTGTTCTTATTTCAAGCTCATGCAAGAACACTTTCCATTAAAGGGCCAAATATATCACTTTGAAGCTAATCTTTTTAGCTTCTACTCCATATGGAAAGCTCTTGATGTTTTCTACCAGCAATATGGTTCTCTTCAATTACTCACTTCCTCATGGAAGTTGTTGTTACCTCTTTAGAAAGATCAAGCCCAGATTGATTGCTTTCAGGAAAGCTCTTACTTCCTTTACACAATCTGAGTTAAACTCTAGTGTTATTTGGTTAAAATATGTAACCTTTGACATGACAAATACTAGGAAATATAATTATTGTTTTGTTCTTTGTGTCACAAGTGTTTGCCAGACACGTGTAGAAAGAGTCTCATCTGCTGACTAGAGAGATCATTGGTTTCTTTGTTTTTTAAAAGGAGGACTGTTCCTCTACAGAATAATAGGTTATTTTGTTTTCAAAGCAAGCTGCTTCTTACCAGAAAGCTATTAGAGCAAATCATCCTTTAATAATGTAAAAACCTGCTGTGGGCTTGTTAGATTTGTGTTTATGGTACAACAATTCTTGCTAATTGAAATGATTTTGATTATAATAAGAGCAATATGAATAACATTATTTACTTATGTTTTTAAAGAATGCCAAGATTTATAGGAGATAAGACAAAAGGGGAAGAGGATAAATGGCATAAATTGGAAAAAATATTTTTATTGTGCATTCAACTTAAAATCATTGTGTTAAGATTGAATGAGCCCTTATATGGAAAAATGAATACCTGTCAATAGTGAACCGAAAGTACATTTGACAGAAGGTCCTCAGGCTTCAAGCTCAAGTACAGTTTAACCAGCCACATCGGCTATTTTGGTCTATTGCCAAAGCCCTGTCTTAGCTACTTGGCCTCAAACATCTTTAGAATCCCTAGGCTTTCCCCCTTAGAAAAACCTGTCACTCCATCAAGTCAGCTTTCATCCCCCATCACTATTCATTTTCCCTTAGTCCACATACCAAGTAATATCAGTCAGTCAGTCCTCTTTTTAAAATAACAACAATGATAATAATAAGTACTACTAGTAGTTCAAGTGTCTTAAGCAAGGATGTCATAAAGTACAATGATCTCTCATCACAACATCTTGCTTTTGCTGGAATTCAACATCATATACATTTCCTCCTGTGTTCATTAAGTTCCATGTGCCTTCTAATGTGATGAAGGAGTAACTGTGGATGCTTGTAAATATGTCTTTAAAATGCCAGCATGATGTGCCCAGGTAAGTCAAAATTGAGCTTTTGATAACTAATGTTCAAACATTTTAGAAAATCTGAGTAAAGTTCTGATACATTTTTTAATAAATAAATAACTTCTTTTGAATAAGCATACCCATATAATGATAATTTAGAATAAAGTATCTTACTATTGACTCCTCTTTGTTCGTAACATAAACAGGAAACACTTAAACTTAACCCTAAGTAAGAAACACAGAGTAAAACCTTCACAGTAAAGAGTATTTTCATTTACCTTATTTAGCATAATTTTGTAGGGGAAAAACAATGCTTTACATTGTTTTCACTCATCTTTACCTACATATCTTAGAGATTTTTCCCAAGAAGCAAAATATGTTTGACATTTGCAATGAGAGAAACTGTCCTTTGAATATCAGTCAGCAAATTTAAATCAACATGTTAATCAGTCTGTTACATATTTTCAATACTTTCAGTTGGACAGACTGATTATACATTGACAGTTAACTAACAAAAAATAATAGAAAATAACAAAAGAAATGTGGATAATTGGTGTATCACCCTCAGGAGTTATGAGCTTATCCAATAATTGCTGTGTGTGCTTACTGCAAAAAAAAAAAAAACCTAACTGCCATCAAGTCAGAGCCAACTCACAGCGACCCCTCCTTGGGTTTGCAGGCATTGTTGAATTAATAATATGTCACCTGGCCTCCATAACTTTTGAAAAGTCATTTATGTGGAAATTATATCAGTTCTCTTGGTCCAACACATGGAAATTCAGAAGAGTAAAAGGCAGATATTTGTAAGCCTAATGTTGAGGCAATATCCATGCTTGTATATATATATATATATTTTTTTTTTTTTTTTCTACAGAACTTCTATAAGACTGAACTGAACAAGGAAGAGATGTATATACGCTACATTCACAAACTCTATGATCTACATCTGAAAGCACAAAACTTCACAGGTAATTTTGTCTTTTGGCTCCGGTTGAGGGGAGTGGGCTGGGTACTGGTATATCCACTTCTCTGCTTTTTATAATTATAACTGAGGACTCAAGCATTTTTTTTTTTTAAAGTGAAATGTATGTGTAATTGAATTTATGTTACTTAGCACACCATTTTAATTTATCTTTTGGCTTTTTTACTGTATCTCTTTACATAGTATTTTTTAGATGCCATTTTTGCAATTATAAAATATTTACCTAACTTGTCACAGTCCACTTAGAATTACAATTTTACCACTTCAAGATAAATAGAAACTTTAGAACTGTATAGGTCCCTTTGATTCTACCCTTATGTTGTATTTATCATATGTACTGTATCTATAGGAGCTCTGGTAGCATAGTTCCTAAGGCACTTGACTACTAATCAGAAGGCTGGAGGTTCAAACCCACCAGCCACTCCTTGAAATGAAGGTTGGGCAATCTACTTCTGTAGTGATATTGCCTCACAAACCCAAGGAGGGGTCGCTATGAATCAGGCCTGACTCAATAGCACATAACAACAACAGTATATCTATGTACATTGAAAACTCCATTCAACAAAGTTAATTTTTTCTTTCAATGTTGTTATTCGTTCCAATTCATGGTAACCCCATGTGTTATAGAATAGAACTACCCCACAGGGTTTCCTTGGCCATAATCTTAACAGAAACAAAGAGCCAGGCTTTTGCTTCCACAGTACATAATTATAGCTATTTTAAAGAACTCAAGAGGATAAAAGCAGTCTATTATATTTATTCAGATATTTACCACTTCTGTTGCTCTTCCTTTATTCCTGAAATTATAGATTTCCATCTGGTTTTGTTTTCTTCAACCTGAAGGTCTTCTTAGTATTTCTTTTAAAGCAGGTCTAATGGTAAAGAAAACTCTCTGTTTTTCCTTATCACATAATAATTATCTTTACTTAACCTATCTGTTCTTTTTTTTTTTCCTGAATAGGATCTAGATGGACAGTTCTTTTCTTTCAAGTTCCATTGTCTTCTGGCCCTTGTGGTTTCTGTTGAAAAATCTGTAGTCATTCAAATTATTCCTTCCATGTAACGTGTTTTTTCTCTGGCTTCTTTGATGACTTTTATTTTTAATCTTTGGTTTTCATCAGTGTCATTATGAAGTATATGGGCATGTTTTCTTTAAGTTTATCCTATTTAGGTCTGCTGAGCTTCTTGGATCTATATATTTATTTCCTTCACCAAATTTGGGGTTTCCAAGCATTGTTTCTTCAAATAATTTTATCACCCATTATTTTCTGTCTGGAACTTCAATGACATGAATGTTGGACATTTTAGAATTGTTCCATAGGTAGTTGGGGCTCTGTTCATTTTTTCTTTTCCAAATTTTCTTCTTTCTTTTGTTCGTATTTGGTGATTTTTATCAATGCATCTTCAAGTTCACTCACTCTCTTCTGTCCTTTCCATTATGCTATTGAGTCTTCCAGTGGATTTTTAAATTTTTGTTATTGTATTATTCAATTTTCTAATTCCTTTTTGATTAGCTTTTGTAGATTCCATTTCTTTGCTAAGAATGGCTATCTTTCCATTTTTTCAAGAGTGTTCACTTTTACTTCATGGAGCAATGTTATAAAATAACCATTGTATAGCCTGTTTGTAATTCCAATATTGGAGTCATCTTGGGGTTGACTTCTGTTGATTGCATTTACTCTGTGAGAGTTGTTTAATGGTGTAATGGCTTAAAGTGTTTCCTCCAAAAATATATGTCAACTTGGCTAGCCCATGATTCTCCATGGTTTGGCAGTTAGGTAATGATGTAATCATCCTGCATGATGTGATCTGATGTAACCAGCCAATTAGTTATAAGGGGATTAGGGTAGAATTCAACACCCTTATTTAGGTCATAGCCCTGATATGATGTAAGGCGAGTTTCCCTGGGGTGTGGCCTACATTACTTTTTATTTCACAAGAAATAAAAGGAAACAGAAGTGAACAGAGAGAGAGGGGGCTTGACTACCACCGAGAAAGAGGAGCTGAGATTAGAAAGCATCTTTTAGACCCAGCATTCCTGTGCTGAGAACCTCCTAGACCCATGACAGGATTGATGCAAAGACACATGGAAATATCCAAGGGATGCCAGGCCCACAGATGTTAAAAAGCAACAAGGTCCTACCCCCAGAACTGACAGAAAAAGCCTTCCCTGATAGCTGGAGCTCTGGTGGTGTGGTGCGTAAGGCATTTGACTGCTAACCAGAAGGCTTTCAGTTCAAACCCACTAGCCACTCCTTGGAAGGAAGACTGGGCAAATCTACTCCCATAAAGATTTACTGCCTCGGAAACCCAAGGAGGGGTCACTATGAAATGATTTGATGACAGTGAGTTTGGTTTTTTTTTTTTTTTTTAAACAGCTGGTACCCTGAATTTGGCCTTCTAGCCTCCTAAACTGTGAGAGAATACATTTCTGTTTGTTAGAGCCATTTACTTGTGGTTATTTCTGTTATAGCAGCATTAGACAACTAAGACAGAATTTGGTGCCAGGAATGGGGTGGTGCTCTAACAAATAACAATCTAGAAGCAGTTTAGGAATTGGGTAATCAGTAGGGGCTGGAAGAGTTTTAAAGTGCATAATAGGAAAAGCCAAGATTGCCTTAAAAAGACTCTTGGAGGAATTATGAATGTCAAAGACAGTTCTGGTGAGGGCCCAGAAGGAATTGAAAAGAACTGTAACACCAGAGACAGTATAGACAGCAAGAAACAGTGGCAGAGAAATGGTGGCAGCAGAACTAGGAGATCAGTGTGAGATGGTGCTATAGCTAACCCACAGAGCAAGGGAGCTGTGTGCCTTGAGGCAGTAGGCTTATTGCCACCTACTGGTAGAACTAATGAGGTTTATAACACATGCCTGAACAGGGCAGAGGCCAGGCTGGCCCAAGAGGCCTATGGAGCCAAGAGACAAAGGAACCAGGAAGCAGAAGCTTAACAGACAAGAAGCATGGAAAGCAGAGCTGCCTCAGTCTCGAAGGGTAGGGTTATGACCTATGGGGTCTCAAAGGGTGCAGTCATAGCCTGCTGGAACTAGGAGGCTGCATGGCCTTCACCAATTGGTTCCAAAGTGTGGGGCTGCTGTTCACAATACCAGGAGAATGGGGCCAGAGTTGCTGCCCAAAGTTGAGGGGATGAGACTGCAGTGCTCAAGGGGCAAAAGAACAGGGTCTGATGGGGTCAAAGGTGTGAGGTCACCACTTAGTTGGACTAGGAGAATTGGTCTGTCCAAAGCCAAAGGAACAGAGTTGCCATCCTAGTGGGCCTGGAAGGTAGAGCTTGAAACCAAGAGCTGAGGGGCCTTCATTCAGAATCTAGGGAAAATAGCCAACACCAAGAGTCTAGAAGGCAGAGCCATTGCCTAGGTGGTCTCAGAGAACAGAGGCTTATTTTCAAGCCTTGAGAGCTAAGGTAAGTTGTTCTACTGGATTTTATACTTGCTTGATGCTTGTTAACCCTTCTTTCCCTTCAGTTTCTCCTATTTGTAATGGAAATATCTATCTTGTGACTGTTCCATTGTACTTCGGAAGGAGATAACTTGTATTCTAGATTTCACATCAGTTAAAGAAGAATTTTGGCCCAGGATGGAATTTGGTCTTGGAGTTGATTTAAGACTTTTAGGATGATATGATCAGGTGAAGGTGTTTTGCATATGTCAAGGATATGAATTTTGGGGGCCCAAAGTGTAGAATGGAATAGATTGAATGTTGTTATTGTTGTTATGTGCCATTGAGTCAGCCCCAACTCATAGCGACCCCTACTTGGGTTTCTGAGGCAGTATCACTATGGAAGTAGATTGCCCAACCTTCCTTCCAAGGAGTGGCTGGTGGGTTTGAACCACCAGCCTTCTTTAGCAGTCAAATGCCTTAGGCACTATGCTGTCAGAGCTCCCAGTGGATTGAATAGTGTCCCCAAAAAATATGTATCAACCTGGCTAGGCCATGATTCCCAGTGGTTTGGCAGTATAATGATAAAATTTGCAGTTAAGTAATGATGCAGTCATCCCCCATGATACAATCAGCCAATCAGTTGTAAGGGGAATTAGGTGGGATGGAACACCTTAACTCATGTCACAGCCTTGATTCGATGTAAGGGGAGTTGCCCTGTGGTACAACACCTTATATCTTACAAAAGATAAAAGGAGAGAGAGGCAGAAAAAGAGATACCTAACTACCACCAGGAAAGAAGAGCCAGGAATGGGGCACATCCTTTGGACCCAGGGTCCCTCTGTTGAAAAACTCCTAGACTCGGGAAAATTGATGCCAAGACAAATGGAGAGAGATTCAAAATGGAGTCTCGTCAGTAATTACCATGCTATTTCACTTTAGCATCTTAGAGCTTGAAAGACTAGGTACAGCAGTTTGAATTCTGGTGCTCTGAGCAGCTCATTGAGTCAGAGTGCACCAAACAAACTCAGAGGAGTAGAATTAGAAAGGAGAAAGGGACAGAGAAAAAATAACAAGATCAGAAGATCTATCCTGCGGAGCGCCAACAGGCAGCCAAGAAAGGCCGTTGGAGACTTCCCTGGGAGAGCACCAACTGGCAGACAAGAATGGCCATCCAAGATCTCCCTGGGTTAAGGAAGAAAACAAACCACACCAGCATACCAGTGACCACACCAGCATACCAGTGATCACCACAAGGATCTACTTCCAGCACCTGATTTTATCAGTTACTTGGGTTGGCTAGGTGCAAATGGCCACGTCCAGCACCACTGAAACCCCAGCAGAGAGTCCATTGGTGCTGGAGGAGGGCAGGCTCAGGGAGGTGCCCCCACAGCAGGTCACCAAACAGGCTTGGGTCAGCTTAGTGGCACTGAGGGGCCTGCACTTGACTTTATCAGTAATATTGGGACCACAGATTACTAACAGGCACTCCCCCAACTCCAGCGCCGCTGAAACCCAGTGGATCTTTGGCGCTGCAGGTGGGCGGACCCACAGAGGAATGCCAGAGGCAATTGCTGTCTGGGCCTGT